TGTTATATGTCTGATAAAGCAGCGTTTGTGAGCTCAGCGCTGCTTTGTGTACAGCTGTTACTGGGGAAACCTCTGTTTCTGTTCCGTCCTCCACGCTGTGACACCTCACAAAAGACTATTTGTAACCAAGCAGCGTGGAGAGCCGCTTCAGAAACGTGCTGCGGCTGGCTGATAAACACAAGCACTGACTAGAGCGGCCGCGATCAGTTCCGGTGGCCGTGGAGCCGTAACGCGCCGCAGACGCGTGCAGTGAAGCGCAGATCAGCTCTAACGTCACTGAATCTGATGTGTAGATGAATCATGCAAAACATACACGTCAAACAGCAAATTTTTCATTGTTTCTCGAAACGTCATAGCATTGCCACACCGACGATGACATGACTGCGGCGCCAAATCATTTATGTCCCCACATACGTCATCACGCATTGACGTCATCAAATTGCGATTGGTTCCTGAGATCGGTCAAGTTGGTGTGTACCGATCGAGTCATAAAATATGATTATAGGCCGATACCGATCTCCGGCCGATCGATCGGAGCATCCCTAGTATTTACCAATGTAAGCAGATCCAATGTTTCTCTGTAACAAGATATGAACAATCACGGGTGGCAGTTTTACCCTCTCCTCCCTAAACAGGGTAGCAAGGTTAAACAAAATAATCATCATTTGCCAGAGACAAGAACTCATTACGTTCCATCAGCACCCGTGTATGTGAGTTAGTTAGTGTGACACGACATGGCCAGGCGTGCATGTAAGTCTTCACATTACATACTCCCACATACGTCATCACGCATTGACGTCATCAAATTGCGATTGGTTCCTGAGATCGGTCAAGTTGGTGTGTACCGATCGAGTCATAAAATATGATTATAGGCCGATACCGATCTCCGGCCGATCGATCGGAGCATCCCTAGTATTTACCAATGTAAGCAGATCCAATGTTTCTCTGTAACAAGATATGAACAATCACGGGTGGCAGTTTTACCCTCTCCTCCCTAAACAGGGTAGCAAGGTTAAACAAAATAATCATCATTTGCCAGAGACAACTCTCATTACGTTCCATCAGCACCCGTGTATGTGAGTTAGTTAGTGTGACACGACATGGCCAGGCGTGCATGTAAGTCTTCACATTACATACAGAGTGAAAGCTTCGCAGTGTTTCTCCAAGAGCGCTTCTAAGCTGTGAAAACAGCAGGGATCTTGTTAAACTGCTTGATTTGCACTCTGTTGACAGTGAAATACAAAGCACCGTGACTATCATCTTCCTCTCCTCGCCAGTCCGTCCCTCAGGGTTTCATTTACACCAGGAAACTGTCCTACTGATGCCTCTGTCCTTGCAGCATCTGAGAGAATGCAAATACAGTGCGGAGGATATGCATGCAGCACTCAGAGAAACAAAATGAAAAACGAGCGTATGCCATGTCGTTCGGCCAATCAAACTCGAGGGATTTTCATTGCACTTGATCTTTTGACCCACTTTCGTTCCAAATTTAAAGTCACCGGGTAAAAACTGTAGCCAGGGGAATTCAGAAAAAAGCAAGCTGGGAAAGTGAAAAGTGACAACCAAGAAAAATGATGCCTTAAAAGTACAATAGCGAACAAAAGTCACAGAATGACAAAGGCTGACAGGCACTTCAATTCTGGAGTGATACTGCTGTCAGCCAACGCCTCTCTGTATTGATTTCCCTCCATCCCTTGTTCCCTTGGCGATAGATGGAGCAGGGATCTAGTGTAAAGCAACTAGAGAGAGAAAATGTTGCCACCCCCTTCTCAGAGTCAGGGTGACCATCAAGGTTAACACAGGTGCAACAACTTATCAAAGTATCTCTGGCTTCTCTCTTCCCCTTTTCTCCCTCCTTCATTTCGTGCTTTTAATGGACTAGTCACAATGTGTAGATGGCAGATTCTTCATCTTGCCTCCCACCCCCTCTCCAAAAAAAGGCATTTCTTTGGTTCCATTACTCTACACGGGCAGCTGACTCCTGCAACTTCAAGGTCACGCCATGTGAGAAATTGTAGGAATTAACTGTCCTTTTGAGGTGAAAAATAGTCAAATGAAGGAGATGTGCGGCGAGTGAAAAATGAACAAGTCTGCCGGCAGGCGACGAGGAGCAGGTGTGGATGAATGTGAATGCGGGATAATGTTTTTACTTCTGGTAAATAAAGAAAACGCATATCGTTCTAAGCCCAATGAACAAAAAACTACAAGTGGAGTGCCACTGTTGGGAGGCTGAAAACACAGGTCAAATAAACAGTCTGAAAGGATATCTTCACAAGCAGAGAAAAAATATACATATATATATATTATAATCTTATTATTAGTAAGAGCCATTGTGATTTCAGTCTATATTTAAAGCTGAAGAGTGTATGTTTTCAGCTAAAATTCTTTCTCCTATCTCAGCTGAGTAGGCAGAACACAAAATGACTGA